CTCTGAGGCTCTCATTTTCATTATACCAGGAAGGACCACTGATTAGATCAATCACAACACCTTAGCCCAAGTGATACAATCAGCAACACCATAGCATCAAGTACCTCTTAGAAAATGACAATTTGTGGTAGTTATTAACCTATCACCTTTAACTGTGTGAATTAAATTAAGATCAAGGACCAACCCAACATATGTTTATAGTGAATAAACTCTTCAATATAGCAAATTTACCCTTCGGGATGGGGAGTTAGAAGGAGTTGGGGAGGGAGGAATAGGTAGGTAGAGGGATAGAGGGAGGTTAGCAGTGAGCCCAGAGGGCACAGGCAAGAGAAGGAAAGAGAAGAAAAGAAAGATAAGGAAGAAATATGAATTAGGGCCAGAACAGGAACACAAAGCAAGATGAAGAACAATGTGGGACAGCAAGGGAGTGAGGGAGAGAGAGAGAGAAAGTAAAGGGAAAAAGAAAAAAGAAAAACTTTTAAAAGAGTAAAAAAAAATAAATAAATTGAAAATAAGAGCAAAAAAATAGTGGTAATTTTAAAAATAGCAAAAGATAAAAATGAAGGGCCTCCTTCAGGCTATGTCTCTGCTGTCACAGTAGATACCGTGGGCAGCATTGTGCAGTTATAAGTCAGTGAGTCTCAGCAAGCCAGTCACAGACCCGTGAGATTCAGGCAGATTTCTGGCTACAAGTCCCAAGTTGAGCTCCCTGTCCTCCTGCAGGGTTGAGCTCTGCAAGGTTCTACTGCAGGTTCCAGCTGCCCTTCCCCTGAAGATAGTCCAGGTTCCAATGGGTGGCGATGATCCCTCCCACTTACCAAGTACGGCGGTCTGCTGTGCCTTTATTGCAGAGATTCTCTACACTTTTCCAGTGGGCTTCAGTTTTCATCAGGGAGCCTGAGAGAGGCCTTCTCTCTGTCCTTCACTTCTGCAGCTCAGGACAATGGCCTTTATGTCCCCCTGTGCCTCTGTAGTGTGGATCCAAGCAGCTGCACAGCCAAGAGGCCAGAGGCGGGGTGTGTGTGTGTGTGTCTGTTGTTGCAGGCACCCTTGTGGCTAAGCTGGTGGCTTATGGGTGTGCCCCGGGGTCCTCACAGTCTCCTGTCACAAGTGGGCGGGGCGATCCAGACAGAGCAGGGCACAGTCAGCCAGGGACCACTCAGCCCACATGGCTAAGCTCAGACTTCTAACTTTTTTTTTTGGTACCAGGGATTGAACTCGGGTCCTTGCACTTGCACAGCAGGTGGTAAAACCACTGAGCTAAATCCCCGGCCTAACCTTTTTAATCTAGCAAGTTTTGCATGCTGCCATTTTTGTTCTCACAAACACAATTCAGCATCTTTTCATAGTTTTGCTTGTTTCCGGCTGTTTCCTTTCCTGTGCCTTTGAGTCCTCTTGCCTGCCTGTTCAAATGTCCTTATTGGTTTGTTGCAATCTTTATATTCTGGAGAGTAATTCTTCGTTGGTTATTTGTACCACAAATATCTTCTCCTTGTTTATAGTTGTGTCATTTTCTTCTGAGTGACTTGATGGAAGAGGGGCCTAATCTCGCTAGCACATTTGTGCTAATTGTAAGAGTGCCTCACTTACCTCTGAGGGCCACCTTTTCACATGGTTTTGCTTTTCCACCTTTAGGTCTGTTCCATCCAAAAGTGCTAAAAGAAAACACCCTGCTCACCAAGAGTACTATTCCCAGCAAAGCTGCGCTTCAGAAAAGAAGAAACTAGCAAAAGCAGGAGCGCATGACCATGAGGCCTTACCAGGACCACGTGAGGGGAGCAAAAGGACAGTACTTACCATCAGAAAAACGGGAAAACAAACTGGTAAAGAGAAGCACATTTGTAATCAAATTCAGAATACTCCATTACTATACTGGTGGACATAGATCTTTCAGTGCTCTGATATGAACAGTCAAAGTGACCAAATATAACTGGCCATGTTAAATTGTAGCAACAAAAATATAAATTGTAGGTGAGGGAAATATAGGTCTAGAGATGTATTAGGGTGTTATGAGTTCAGAAGAGTCTGTTATAACTGATTATAGATTCGGGAAGCAGACAGGTGGAGCACTTTGGGCTTAAATAATTTAAAAAGAACCCAGGAGGCTGTAGTGAGGCAGTGGGGGGCTGACTGCAGGCTCTGGGGGCCCAGCTCTCAGGCCTTGAAGGCCCTGTCTCCCTTCTTAAGGCGGCGCATGACGAAAGTCCCCAGGGCCACCAGGGGGATGCACATGGTGGAGGCGGCCACAAGCAGCCCGATGGCAGTAACTGTGTACACGGGGTAGTCCTTGGTCACCAGCTGGCCCTGGAAGAGAGACAGTCAGGGACGGGACCTTCCCCACACCTGCTGACAGCGTTGGCGCTCAGCCCGCGCTGAGGTGGAGCCTGGGCGGGAAGCAGGGGTTGGAGACGCCCACGAAACCCGGGCAGTGGGCAGCGCCTCCCTGAGGCACTGTTCAGGGCTCCCGCAAGCAGGGACGCCCATCACCCAGACTAGAGCTTTCTGCGCCCGAGGAAATGCTCTGCATCCATGCAGCCACTGTGGGACCCGGGCACCTGCTCTGAGCAGTGGCGCCTGACCCTGCCAGGACGGCCTCCCGGCAGCGAGGCAGCGGGCACAGGAAGCTCCATGGCGGCTGTGCCCGGCCCAGCAGGAGCCCTCGGGCCCGCGTCCTCTCCGGCGTCCTCCCCGCCCCAGGCAGCTCCCGGTGCCCGAGCCGAGGCCCCGCCGCGCTGTGGGGAGCGGGCACGGCGGGTACCTGGGTGGCGTCCCAGGCTTGGTACTGCAGGGTCCCCGAGAGGATGTAGTCGCTCAGGTAGAAGAGGAACAGGCCGACGATGAGCAGCGGGCTCACGCAGGCCCACATGGCCTTCCAGTACCAGCCCGGGGCGCGGCCGGTCATGGCTTCGAGGTCGGCTCCGAATCTGCGGGCCGCGAGGGGAGAGAATGTGGGTTCGGGCCGCCCTCGGACCCCCGATCCCTTGCTGCCAGTGCAGAGAGAAGGGGGCGCCTGCGCCGGTCGGGGCGTCAGGAGACTCGGAGGGGCCTGCGGTGCGGACCCGGGACAGCGCCCCCGGGGCTCGGCCTCCCTCCCACACCTGACCTGGGCATCCGCTCTGCCCGTTAGAGACGCCCGGGGGGACCCCTGCCTGGGGACTCGGGGTTCTGGCAGAGGCGGAGCCGGCCTGGACCTCAGGACCGGGACCTCAGGACCCGGCCTGGACAGGGGAGGGGAGGGGAGCGGGCGCGGGAGCCCGAAGCGGCCTTTTCCGGTGCCCTTCGGCTTTGACCCAAGCCGTAGCATACACCTCCTCTCGGGGGTGATGGGGTCATCGTAGGCTGCTCCAGTGCCCACGCTTCTGGATTTCACAGGGGTGGGGACGAGTCCCGGGCTGGGATGGACTTGCTGGTGAGCAGAGCAAGCTGGACCCCGGGTTGCCTCTCGCCCCCAGGCCAGGCCTCTAACCCTGCTCCCTTGGCAGGAGGGGCTGGGACAGGGCAAGGTGTCACTGCCACCGTGTCCCCTATCCTCCTGCGCAGCATCCACGGAGGGCTCTGCAGAGCGCTACCACTCTTCCACAGGTGACAAGCAGAACTCCAGGCCGCCAAGACTCTTGTACGTGATGAGAATACCCGAGACCATCAGGGTGACACGGGTCAGAAGGTGTGGGTCCTCTCCCCTTCACCCCTGTCCACGCCTGGGCAGTGAAGGGCGGGCAGAGCAGGCTGAGGACCAGGTTGTTGTCGCTGCAAGGCCACCAGGTGGCGCAGTGCCCCAAGCAAGCGCAAGAACCTTCGGGCCTCTCCCCGGACCGAGCCGCTCAAGATTGCCCTAGGGCCCCCTTCCTCCCTCAGTGCCCATCGCTTGCTTCCCCAGCACCTCCGGCGCCCTTTTGACAGCCTGTGCCCCTCTCCACTGCCTCCTGTGGGCCCGAGGTTCAGTCCTGTCCCCAAATTCTTCTGCATTCTTTCCTGGGACAGACTGTGCCTCTAAGCTGGCATTTCCTAGATGACACATTTATCCCGCTTTACTTGGGACTCCCCTGGTTTTAACATTGAATGGCCCACATCCCACAGATCCCTCCGTGCTGGGAAAACCGGGAGAATCGGGCACCCTAATGTTTGTTAGTGATTTTGAAATGTTAGCAACTGGCAGGAGGGGGCAGGAGGCTACAGGGCCTTCAGGGGCCACACTAAGTTTTGACAATGTTTTCAATTATCATGTCCCCTCTTGAGAGTCCTGTGTCTTCAGAGCTCTGAGAAGTCCTAGAGGAAAGACATCAGCCTGGTTTGATGTCACTTATGTCCTAAAACCAGTTGATCATGGCGGGTGGGGGGGTCCCCTCAGCATGGCTTGTGACACTGGTCTTTCCGGGACAGTGTGAGACAGCTGCAGGGGGTGCCAGGCTGCGGGGGTCAGGACTGCCTGCACCCCCAACCCGAAGCAGCACCAGAAGAGTCTGAGGAATAGGGAGGACCATGTGGCAAACCCCCTTAGAGCAACACTCAACATTCGAGCAGCTCTGCCCAAACTGCAGTGTGCTCACTGTTCAGCAGGGCTGGGAAGCCCAGGTCCTTGCTGATGCTCAAGGGACATGGTTGGGGCTAGACCGTGGTTCTCAAAGTGTAGTCCCCAGGCCAGCCGGGAACATGTAGACTTGGAGATCCTAGACCTCGTCCTGGACCTCCTTAGCCAGAACCTCTGTTGTGGTGGTTCTGAGGCAAACCCAAGTTTGCAAGGTGCTCTGGATCAGCAGTGCTGGCCCCAGCTGCACATTGCACATCCTGGGGAGAATGAAAATGTTCCAGTGCTGCCCTGGGCACCAAAGGTGAGAATCTGACCTCAGTGGAATCTGTCAGATTTTCTGAGATGAAAGTTCTCAACAAGGACCTTAAAAATATTGATGCTGGCTGGTGATGAGGGTATCTAGTGCCAGGAGGAACAATTCTGTCTTCCCAGGAAGCTGTGGGGATTTAGCAGTGTTACCCAGAGGCATCCCATAATGCAAAGTGAAAATACAGGAAATAGAGGCTGTTGGTTGCAGGCCAACGGAGGGCAGAGTAAGGCAGAGAAATAGGTGAACACCCGGGAAAAAACAAGAACAAATTGGAGAGCAAAGAGCAACCTTCTAGAAGGAAACGCACTGAGCCAGGGTGGCAGCGGCTGTGGGGTCCCCTGGGGCTGCCTGTCCCTGTGTAGCTGGCAGGGCCAGGCCCCCTCACCTCCTCAGCCCGTACACGTAACACACGCCAACCGTCTCCACCAGCACAATGAGCAGCAGGGACAGCGTGGCCGCGTAGTCATTGAAGATGTTGAACCAGTAGCTCCCGGCTTCCATGGTGAACAGCAAGCCGATGGCACAGTTGACGAGGCAAACCAGACCTGGGCACAAGACACCTGCTCGCTTGCCCACTCTCTCAGGGCGGCAGGGGCCGGGCCCCGAGGGGACTCTGGCCATTGGTGGGTCTGCCTGGTGGGAAGAGCCTCCGAGCAGGGACATGGGCTCAGCGGGCAGCAGGAGCAGAAGCGGCGAGTGGTACACTCTCAGGGGGTTCCCCAGGCTGTGGGCCTGGGCGCGGGGGATCCCCACTGCTCAGGCCCAGCCTCATGGGGGGAGAAGCGGGGCAGAGGCTGGAATGTGGGTCAGGGCCCAGCAGACCTGGGGACAGGTCTCTCACCCTCCGCAGAGGGAGAGGGGGAGCTGGGTTTCCCAGCACCTCAGCCCTGCATCGGGAACAGGGCCCTTTCCCAGCAAGCAGGCAAGCCTCAGAGACACACGAAGCTTCACCCACGGCGCCCAGCATGGAGGAGGCGTCCAGGGTTCCACACGGGCGAACCTGAGATGGCCTCCTTGGGCAGGTGGCCGGAGATGACCTTGCTGTCGGTCAGGGGCGTGAGGATGCCCGCCGTGTTGCCCAGCATGCTCCCCATGCCCAGCGTCAGCAGCATGAAGAAGTAGAGCACCGACCACAGCTGGGGCACCTCCATGTTCTTAATGGCCTCGGTGTAGACGATGAAGGCCAGCCCCGTGCCCTGGACCGCCTGCCCGGGCCAAGAAGGCAGCAGTTACCCAGGAGCGACTCACTCCGTCCCTGCCCCAGCTCCCCTGTTCTCCGGGTACAGTGAGGCCATGGGAAGCCCTGCCTGGTGTCAGGACACCCAGGCTCCCGGCCCTCGGTGCTGGGACTGAGGAGCGGGGTGGGGCCGGCGTGGTGGGGAGCCAGCCTGTGCTCAGGGCCGAGTCCCGTGCTGGTGCCCCTGTGTGGACCCGGAGCTGTGCAGACGAAGCCTGCAGTGCCTGCTTGAGACAAGTCCTCTGTGCCCCAGGGAGGGTCGGTCAGGAGGCGCCATGGGTGTGGGAGCCCTGGGGCTCCCAGCAGGAGAAGCGGCAAAAGCAAACCCCGTAGGCGTCAGTGCAATTGTGACCACCAGGATGCCCAGAAATCAGGACTAAGCAGTGAGCCCACAGCGACTGGTCAGCCCACAGGAAGACAAGTCACCTGGCAGGAGAGGCGGTGGGCATTAGACCACTGTCCTCCCCAGGGAGCCCTTGCTGCATTGTCAGAGGCAGAACCGCTGTGGACAGAATCCGTCTCCTCCCCAGGACTCTCAGTTGAATCTCCGTCCCCACTGTGAATGTGGCTGGAGAGGCGGTCTTCAGTGGGCAGTTGAGGTTACACGAGGTTATAAAATTGGGGCCCTAAGCTAATACATGTGGCCTTACAGGAGGGAGAGTGGGGATCCAGTCTTTCTCGCCCCAGAGTCCCTGTGAGCTCAGGGGACAGGCACCCCACCTCCCCGGCCGGCACCTTACCGTGTCCAGCTCCGACTCCAGGCTGCAGTTCTTCAGGAGTGGGAGCACCTCGCTGTACTTGCTCGGGTAGGTGGAAGCCAGGTAGCCCTTCACCTGCTCCAGGTTGCTGGCTGTCAAAAAGCCATCTTCAAGGTCAAAAGAATTGGTCAGCAGCAGAATCACCCTGCAGAGCAGACACCGGCTTGACCTCCACTGACCGGAAAGGCTGCCGCCTGCCCGCCTCTCAGCAGCTTGGGGGCCGGGAAGCCGGCCTCCCCCCTCTCCCTTCCGCTGAGAGGAGGGCCGGGCATCTTGGAGAGGACAGGGTGCCTCGGAGTGGCTTTGGTGAACCTCAGCCATGCACAGGAGGACAGGAACCAAAGCTCCGAACGGAGGCTGCTTTAACCCCGGGGCTCTGAGGTCTAATGGGCATTGCTGCGCTCGTGGAGATGTCCTGCAGTGGCCGTCCAGTTTGGTCCCACTCAGCTGACCACCTGTGACTCCCAACCACCTGTGACTTCTTACCTTCCGGGTGGTGTTCCTGCTTGTGGGTCAAGAGCCAAGGACAGTAAATTCTGGCTCTGACAGGGAGGTCTTGGTTCCTTCGAGACAGGGTCAGTGGGGCAGAAGTCACTAATGTTGTGTGCTGATGTCCTAGTCTACCAAGGGCTTTGAAGGCCTCACACGCCCTCATCCCGTGAGGCGGCCTTGAGCAGCCAGGGTCCCCTGCTCCCATGTGGTGGGAGGAGCCTGAAGGCCAACCTTGGGTAGAGGTCCCCCATGTGAGCTCTGTGCCCACCGTGGCTCCTGGGCACCTGCTTCTTGCAGCTCTCCCGTCAGCTCAGAGCCAGGCACTCTCCTCCCCACTGGAGACCCAGGTCTCCGAGGGGCAGCCCGGCTTACTTGTTTAAGCAGTTTTCGTAGTTGAAGGTGGCCTTGAAGCCGTAGATAGAGAAGGTGACCACGCTGGCGAAGATGGAGGTGGCACTGTTGACGAGGCACACGACGATGGTGTGCTTCTGGCAGTTGTTGGAGGGCTCGCTGTAGCTGGCAAAAGCGATCAGGCTGCCAAAGCCCAGGCCCAGAGAGAAGAAGATCTGCGTGGCTGCGTCGATCCAGGCCCGGGGGTTGGCCAGCTGCTCCACCTGGAAGGCCACCAGGGGTCGCCGAGGAGCCCTGAGTGTCCCTGGCAAACTCACCCGCAGGAGGGAGGCCCAGAGCAGGCAAGGAGCTGCCTGGGCACAGGGCCGGTCAGGGCAGCCTGGGGCCTCAGCCCAGCCCTCCCGTGCCTGTCTGTGCCCAGGCCGTTCCTCAGCACACAAGCGCTTGGACATCTTCCCACGGCACCGTCCACAGCACTTGGTCACAGGAGTGTGCAGTGAGTACCGCGGGGTGGACTGGTCAGAAGCATACGGGGCCTCAGACTCCCCAGCCGGCCTAGGGAGGGCCTGACGTCCAGCCGTGGCCTGGGTGTGGAGGTGAGGGCTCCTTCCCTCCGTCCACCCCTCCTTCCCACCACCCTGTGAGCGGCAGGAGGAGGGAAGGGGAAGGGTGTCCTCAAGACCCTCTGCTTGCTCACCTTGGGAGTGAACATGTACAGCAGGCCATTGGTGGCTCCATGGAGGGTGAGGCCTCTGACCAGGTAGATGATGAGCACACAGTAGGGCAGCAGCGCCGTGAAATATACCACCTGTGGGCGCCAGAGGGCAGACTCAGCCTCAAGTGCCCTGGAAGCACCACAGCCTGCTGGGTGTTCAGGCTGCACCCCAGCTGCTGAAGGCTCGGGCAGCCTTGGTGCTTTTGGTTGGATCGGGGTCTGACTGGTGGGTGTGGTTGCCGTGTCTGTAGCCACCAGGAAATTCTTCATCAGCAGATAGGAGGCAGCAGGCACTGAGGCTTCTGCCCTCTGGCCTCCTTCAACTCAAATGTATTCCACACAGGATGGAGGCAGCTGCAAGCATTCCCACTGACATGTTCACATTTCTAGATAGAGAAGTCAGTCTGCACGGCAAACCTGGGCAACCTAGTAATGAGGCCAGGGGAAAGGGCCGCCCTCAGACGAGTGCATGTTTCTACTCAGCTCTGAGCCAAGTTTCCCTCTGAACTAACTCTCCTGGTGCCTAAACAAAGCAGGAAGCACAGAGATATCACAAGGCATATATATTGTCTCTAAAGGGCAAAACATTTAAGGGCTTGAGGCTGGACAGGTTTCCACAGCTAAGGCCTGAGACAGCCTGGCCAGCAGTGCTCATGGAGAAGAATAGTGACGTGAAATGTTGGGGAGATGTCCCCACAATAGATTCAAGGGAAACACTGATATGGTTTCATAGTTCCCCTCACAACTGTCATTATTTCCTTGGGCTTGAAATCGCACATCCGTATTTTTGTCTTCTTTCGATGGTTACCTGGGATTGAACACAGGGCCCTTACGCTGAACTACATTCCCAACCTTCTTTTAAATTTTAATTTTTTGCTTTGAGACACAATTTCACTAACTTGCCCAGGCTTGGCTTGAACTTACTACCCTTCTGCCTCAGCCTCCCAGACTGCTGAGATTACAGGCTCGTGCCACCAGGCTCCTCTTTCAGAGCTTCAACACAGCTTCAAGTGCTGTCTGCTCACTCAGGACTGGTATTTTTCTGTAAGTCACTTCCTACATGCAGCGGAAACTCTTACTGAGAGCAAAGAATGGTGTTACAAGGTTGCTTCTTGTATGAGTTGCCTGAGTTTGGGGTATCCCATGAGAAACACTACTGGTGACCCCTCTCCACATTGGCCTGAATTATATTCATGCTGATCCCCCAGAAAGGAAAAGAGATGATCCAGACAAAGAATGTAAAAGGCTGATCTTTAAACTGATCCATGAGATCAAAGAAAAGAGAACTAATCAGCTGAGTGGTTGAAGGAGGACAATGAAGGATATGAAAGATCACTTCAGTAGAGAGATTCAAATTATGAAAAAGAAACAAGCAGAAATCTTGGAAGTAAAAACCTCAGTGAAAGTCTAGGGAGGGTCAGGGATTTAGCTCAGTGGTGCTGCTGCCTGCCTCACAAGCACAAGGTCCTGAGTTCAATCCCCAGTAGCAAAAAAAAGTCTAGGGAGTACCCAAGATCACGGAGAAGAATGTCATGAGTTCAGGACAGGATGCAAGTACTAGCATATTCAGAGAAAAGCAAAGAAAAAGAAGTAAGTAGCAAAGAACAGACTATGTAAGTGCTCTTGAATAAATCAAAAACAAAGAACTTAAGGCTCATTGCCTTAGAAGAAAGCATTGAAATATGGCTTTAATATCCATTTATTGAAATTATAACACAAAATTTCCCCAAACCATGGAATGTGATGGGTATACAGGAAAAGGTGGCATTTGGAACTCAAAATAGACATGACCAGAAAAGAAGCATTCCACAACACATAATAGTCAAAATACCACAAATTCACAACAAAGAAAACAATAGAAACAGCTATCATTTATAAAGGCCAGCCCACCAAAATAAGAGCAGATTTCTCAACAGAAATCTTATGGGCCAGGAGGGCTTGGAATGAGGTCTTTCAGACCCTGAAAGAAAATAATTGTCAACCCAGGTTACTATAGTCTGCAAAGGTTTCCTTCAAAATTGAAGAAGATATGAAGACCTTCCACAATAAGTATAAACCAGAGAAATTTATGACTACCAATCCAACACTGCAGAAAGCATTTAAAGGAATTGTAAACACAGTCCAAGAAAAACAAGTGCAAGACAAGGGGAAAGAGTAAAGCTCACTGGGAGAAAAGGTAAACAAATAAATAATAAGAAGGAATATAAAACCAGAAAAACAACAAAAAATGACTGGAATTAGAACATTCCTTTCACTAATAACATTTAATGTAAATGGTTGGCACACCGAATAAAAAAAACCCCATCAAGACCCATCTATATGCTGTCTGCAAGAAACACACCTCATCTGCAAAAGCACATGCAGACTGAAAGTGAAAGAATAGAAGATGATACTCCAAGTAGTAGCTGGATCCCCAAAACAAGCCAGTGTTGCTATATTCATATCTGATAAGTAGACTTCAAACCAAAAATGGAAGAGACAAGGAAGGCCAGTACATATTGGTAAAAGGGAAGAATTCACCAAGAAGACATAACAGTTGTAAATATGAACGTTGGTGCACTCAGCTTCATAAAATGAATACTGCTTGACATAAGAGGACACATAGATCCCACTACAATCATAGTGAGTTCAACACCCCACTGTCATAAATAGGTCAAGTAGACAGGAAAATGAGCAAAGAATCACCAGAATTAAACTACACTATTGACCAAGTGGACTTCACCGATATCTATGGAATGTTTTGTCCAACAACAGCAGAATCCACTTTCTTTTCAGCATGCCATGGAATGTTCTCCAAAGCAGACCATAATTTTAGGCCATGAAGTAAGCCTCACTGAATACCAAAATATTGAAAAATTCTCATGCATCCTATCAGACCACAACAGAACGAAACAAAAAATCAACAGCTAAATAAAACACAGGTGCTCCACAAATGTGTGGAGGTTGAACAATACATTCTTAACCCATTAAAAGATCACTGAAAAAAATCAGGGGAAAAGTAAAAAAATTCCTAGAATCAAATGATATTGGAAACACAAATCAGAATCTGTGGGACATTGAGAAAGCAGTTGTCTATTAAATGCAGGTACTGACTTCCTAAGTAAACTCCATCAGGTAATGTTAATGAGCACTGATAAGAGAGACTGAAGGTCACCACCGTACCACTTCCGCCTGTCCATCCCACAGGAGGGGTTTGCTCCAGCAGCACCTGCTGTGTCCGCCCAGCAGGGCTGTACCCTGCACTGTGGAGCCCTCCCCTGGAGCTGCTAAGGCAGGGACAGAGGTGCTGCCCCCTTCCGCCCTGCCCACACAGCTCACCTTGCCCGTGGACTCGGTGCCCCGCAGGATGCACAGGTACACCATCAGCCAGGCCAGGACGAGGCACAGCGCCAGCTCCCACTGCACAGCCCCAGTCTCCTGGATGGATGGCGAGACGTTCAGGGTCTTCCGGTACCAGAAGTACTGCGTGGATGAAGCCTTCTCACACTCCTCCTCGTAGCCTGTGCGGTTTGCATTCAGGGGGCAGAAGGACCATGGCAGGGGGTCCTGTGGGAGGGATCGCAATGTGCAGAGAAGTGAGAGGAGGCCAGGTTGGGAGGACTTGGGGAGGAGAGGACCCAGGTCCCTGGGAGGCTGTGTGTATCAGGGGCTAGGAGGGGCTGTGGGGCGCCTGCCATGATTTGGGGTGCAGTGCTCCCCAGAGGTCTGTGTTGGAGTTGCCTGGCCGCAGGGTGGTGGTACTGGGCGGTACTTATTGGGGTCCTCGTGAGAGGGCATCAGGTCACTTGGGGTGTACTCTCCTTGGGACAGTGGGACCCCCTCTCCCTCCTCCTGTTGGAGACGTCACGTTTGTGCTGCACCTGCTCATGGGGGCATGCGCTGTCCTCTGTCCCCCTCCCTGGAGGCCAAAGCAGTGGCCCCATCGGATCCACACCTGGAACCTCCCAACTACGGGCTGGATAAACCTTGTTGTCTCTGTGTGTTTCCGGTCCCCGGTGTTTCACTGTGGTTATGCAGAGCTCACTGAGAGAGTCCTTGGCTCTCCTGGCCATTCTGCAGGTGGTTTTGGGAATGCCTAATTCCACTGTGAGACTAAGACTGAGATGGGCAACGGGGGAGAAAACTCTGAACCTCAGCATAACACAGGCCTGTGAAGGACAGAAGGAAGCAATATTCAAGTGCTTTTCTGCAATCACTGGTACCCACATTTCTGAGGATTAGAAACTGTTGCTCCTTTTAAATTCACTTTATTTAGAAAATGGACAAATCTTCCTGACTTTGTTATACAAGATGCATTGCTTCCATCTTTGAGATGTGTCTTCATAACTGCGTAAATCTATACTGCTTTTGGGAGTGCCATTGTGCTACACACAACATGCCCAGCCATACACAGCAGCCCTGCACAGAGGAAGGGAAGCAGCCCTCAGGCTTCAGAGTCAGGAGCTGCCCCGTTTCTACCCAGGAGGCTGGGGCCAGGTGCTAGGGTGGCAGTGTGAGGCCTTTACTCCTGCGCATCAGTAATTCCTGTCACTCTCCCAATGTTCAGTGAACACTCAGATGAGTGTGCTCGGTGATTATTTCATTAACAAATGCAGTTGAAGAAATGAATGTCCACATGCAGAAAAATGTACCTCACCCCATATTTGATATGGTTTATAAGGAAAATATCTGAAAATGAAGCAAAGACTCATTTGTACCACCCATCACTCTAAAATCTAAAGAAGAGGGCTGGGGATTTAGCTCAGTGGTTCTGCCACCTGCCTCACAAGTGCCCGAGTTCAATCCCCAGTACCAAAAAAATCTAAAGAAGAAGCAAGAGCCAACCTTTATAACCTTGGGTAAGGCCAGGAGGGTGAGAGGTGGGTGAGTGGGTGAAACTTCATCTGTTTTTACAGTTGCTTCCCAGAGCTTGGAGGTAGGGCCTGAGCTCCACCTACTGTCAGGTCAGTGGGCACGGGATTCCCACAGGAGCCTGATCCGACTGAACTCTGCAGGTGAAGGATCTGGGCTGAGTGCTCCTTGTGAGGACCTAGTGCCTGATGACCCGAGGTGGGGCTGAGGCTGTGAGGCTAGCACCAGGGAAGGGAATCATTATGCATCACAAATATATATTAATTTTTTTAAAAAGAAACTAAAAAAAATCCATCCCACCCAGTCTGTTGAAAAATTCTCTTCCACAAAACCATTTCCTGGTGCCAAAAAGCTTGTGAATTACTGAGTTCCAGGGAGCAGCAGAAAGGTCCCGTGCAGAATTTTGTCTTTGAGAAGAGCCCCTCCTGTGTTTCAGGGTGACAATGGTTCTTCTGGGAGAACTCTGGGTCTATGGGGGGAAAAGCAGGGGCTCAACCCGGGGCCAGAAACTAGGGAGGACAAGTGGCCATGGCAGGAAGGAATAGGGTGGACAGAAAAGGAGGAACAGCCCTACAGTCCTTCTGCGATATGGAGATCACTCTATCAGTTCTTGCCATGCATTTGCTCCTGGACTCACTAAGAGATCATTTTTATCATTTTGGGGATCACAGCCTATGAAAGCTGTAGGGCAGCTCCCCTATGTGTGTGCACAGGCATATGCATAACCCCAGCTTGCAAAGTGAGGGGTCTTGGACCTGCTTGTTTTGGGGTGCTTGGCTTTCCCCAGTCCTTCCTGCCACTTGCTGGTTCCCCCTGAGGCTGCCTCCTCCGGACTCCCCAGGTGGGGGCCCCACACCTGTTCTCTGATGCACAGTGGCTCACCTGGAAGGAGTTGAAGAGGTACCAGAAGCCCCAGGCATTGATGATGTTGTAGTATATGGAGAGGAAGAAGGACACCACCACGCTGGCCATGCCTGCAGGGAAGCAGAAGGCAGTGATGAGGGCCACATGTGGGGGGCCCACTGCCTCGTGGGTCAGGAAACCCCTTCTCTGCATGCACTTGTTACCCTTCATGAGGCTATGTCTCTCCCCAACCCTCTGTCTCACGAGGACACGAGCCCAATGACACCTTTCGAGTTCTCTGTACCAGGCCCCATGCTGAGCACCTCCCATGCCTCTGGTCCTCACAATAGTGTTGTCCCCGTGTCATAGAAGAGGGCACTGGGGCTTAGAGCTGGCCCAAGGCCACTCAGCTAATGAGCTGCAGAGCTAGGACTCAAACCTCTGAGAAAAGCATTTTGTCACTGTCTTGTGCCACCCGTATGCCCAGTAGGACAGTTGCTCGCTCCGGCTCACCCAAGGTTGGGTCACTGGGGCCAACTCTGTCCTGTGGTGCAAGGGGCTGGGGTGAGGCATCTGAGGCATGGCGGGACGGGGAGGCCCACCTATGTGGAGCCATGTAGAGTTAGCCACCTGGGGTGCTCTGAGGTCTTGGGAGCCCATGTTGGCCTTCTGGAGCACTGTGCCCAGCCCTTCCCATCCTACATGTTGGACAGCTCGTGAGTCCGATGTAAGACATAGTGGAGACTATGCCAGTGGCATCAGCAAGCTACAAAGCAGCTGGGCAGCTGCTCCCCTTCCAGATCCCCTGCCAAGGCCCAGAGCAGAGAATCCAGGTGCTGTTGGCGCCCACCGGGGCTGCCACTGCTGTATGGGTCAGGATCCAGCCCTCCTCAGCTCTAGTGGCAGCTCCTCTGGGCTGTCAGTTCACCCCGTCACTGGCTTTCTCTCTGGGTCCTGTACTTGCTGCTAGATTCCCATCTCCACCCCTGTCACCCAGGGGTCAGGAGGGGCACACGCACCAACGCCTCCAAGATAGGGGCTGATGGTCCTCCAGGCGCCGATGCTGCCCTGCCGCATGCACTGCCCCACCGCCAGCTCCAGGTACAGGAGCGGTATTCCCTCCACGATGAGCATGATGAGGTAGGGGACCAGGAAACTGCCTGTGGGCATCCAAGCCAAGGTCAGACCAGCAGTGCCAGACGGGTGGTACTGTGGCACCCCCCTCCTCTGCAAACACCCTTCCACCAGCCTGTCTTTCCCCTTGTCCACTCACCCTTCTACCTCCCACCCATCCATACTCGTTTTTCTATGTGCCTCTATTCTTCTGTCTGCAAATCTTCCACTTATCCACACATCTATCCCTCTGTCATTCCTCTCATCCATCTACCATCTGTGCATCCGTCTGTCCATCTATCCATGCACGCACGCATTTATCCACCATCCCTGCATCATGCATGCATGTATTCCTTCATCCTCCCCTCTACTCATTCATTCTTCCACTGCTCAGCCCATCCATGCATCCACCCACCCACCCATCTGCCAATCCACCCAACCATCCATCCATAAATCCATGCATCCATTCATTCATCCATCCACAACCAATTCATCTATCCATCTGTGAACTTATCTACTCATCCACCAATCCACCCATCCATCATGCAACCATCCATTCACCCATTCATCCATCCATGCATCCATCCACCCACCCATCTGCTCATCCATTTATCCATTCATCCACTGATCCACCCATTCATTCATCCAATCATCTATCCATCTGCCAATCCATCCAACCATTCATCCATTCATCTATTCATCCATCCATGCATGCATGCATCCACCCTTCAATCCTTTCATCCATCCATCATACACCAATCTACCCATCTACTCATCGGTCCATTCATCCACTGACCCATTCATGTATCCATTCATTCATCCATCCATCCACCTGCTAAACTATTCATCCACTTATCCACCCACCCATTCATCCAGTCATCCACCAATCCACCCAACCATCCATCCATGAATCCATCCATTCATTCAACCACAATCCATTCATCCATTTATATATTCACCCAACCATGCATCCATCCACCCATCAATGCATCCATGTATCATCCATCCAGCCATCTACCCACCAATCATCCATTCATCCATCCATCCATGCACCCACCCATCCATACACCAATTCACCCATCTACTTATCCATTTACCTATCCATTCACCCATTCATGTGTCCACCCATTCACCTGTTCATCCATCCACCAACCCACAAATTCATCCATCTCCTCCACTCACACATCCACTCATCAAGTCCCCCACCTCCTACCCATCCATGGATGATACACAGACATGTCAGCTGTCAATACTCCCAGGCAGAGAGGCAAACAGCCACTGCCTCAAGCTCCTGGAGCACCCTCCTCAAGGCCTCTCCTGGCCCAGTCCTCTGCCAGAACCCCCATTACATCCTCTCTTTCAGCGACTAAGGGCTGCTCAGAGCCAGGACCACTGAGTCCCCACATATTTTGAGCCTCCCTCTCCCCGAGTCTGCCCATCGGCTCCCTCTCTTCCCCCTTCTGTGGGGTCAGGGCACAACCCTCTTGATACCCATGTGAGGCATTGTCTGACACCCATTTACCGAGTGCTTCCTGGGCCAAGGCAGGGGACCTGGGAAAAGTCCAGTGAGAGAGGAGGGCAGGGCCTCGGGTGAAAGAAAACTCAGGCTCCGGCTGCAGGGATCAGGGGGCTCCAGTGCCACCTGACTCCTCAGTGCTGAGGTGAACAAAGAAACATCTATGCTCACATAAACACTGCCCAGGTACATGCATGCCTGCAGGCACATGTGCGTGGGGCTGCACCAGTGGGGCCCAAGGTACTAGGGACCTTTGTGTCACCCTGAGCAGCTGCAGAGCACCACCCTGAGACAGGACATTTTGCCTTGGGTAACGGTGGGCACACAGGCTGTGTCCGCTTCCTGCCGTCCTCGTCAAAGCCATGGACACAGCCTGGCCCACATGCTTGGTTATCCCTGGTCCCGGGGTGATGGATCTCAGCAGGAGAATGGCTGGGACAGAGCACAGGGAGGCAGTGGCAGGGGCCGTGGGCAGGGGACAGTGAGGTCCACTCCACCAGCCTAGCCTGCTCAGCTCCTCCATGCCCAGCGGGACCTCAGCAGCCGGCCTCTCACTGCAGGACTCTGCTGGGGGCTCGCCCCGCCCCGCCCCGCCCCGCCCCTGCCTGCCCTGTGCCCTGGCCTTGTCTGGCTCATGCCAGCCCGCTGGGGTGGCAGAGGAGGGGAGGCCGTGCGTGGCTCCCTCCCTTCCCTGACCGTGAAGGCTGGCAGGAGGCAGGATAATCTCAGTCTCCCCAGTGTCACCAGTGACCACGCCCAGCAAGGCCAAGGCTGGTGTCTCAGCGGCAGGGCCTGGCTGCCCAGGCCAGGAGCGATGCAGGCCCAGGTGGGAGTGTGGGGCCTTTCATCCCACCCCCCAGCAGTGTGTACCTGTCCCAGCGCTCAGTGGACACTCAATTCATGTGAGTGTGCTCTGAAATTACTTTGCTAATAAATGATGTCAAAGAATTGCATATTCTTGTGCGGAAAATGCACTTCAGCTTGTATTTAACATTTTTAATACAAAAGAAAACATGGAAAGGAATTATAGACCCACATATACAACCCATCATTATAAAATCTAAAGAAAAAACAGGAAATTCTCCATGGTTAGGCAAAGGTCTTTTAGAGAACAGGTCTTTTACCCTTTCAGCTCTGTGGAAAACAATTCAGAGAACAAAAATGCAAACTACTGACTGGGGAAAAATATTTGCAAAACACATACATGAGAAAACCACATGTCAGTTGTATACAAAGACTCCTCAAAACTCAATAGTAAGATAACAAGTTCTCATTCAAAAAAATGTCCAAGGACTTGAGCAGACATTTCCTTGAAGAATACACGACTTTGTCCATTTATGCTGCATGTCTGTGAGGCATCTGAAGTCAGTGGTGCTGCATGTCTGTGAGGCATCTGAAGTCAGTGGTGCAGGTTCTGCAGCATAAATGGACAAAGTCTTGTATTCTTCAAGGAAATGTCTACTCACGTCCTTGGACACTTTTTTGAATGAGAACTTATTTTCTTACTATTGAGTTTTGAGGATTATTTGTATAGACCTGACATGTGGTTTTCTCATTCTTAAGAGCTAAATTCATTGCTAAAGCTAAGAAGCTCATACTGTTGGTGAAGAGTTGGTCCTGCCTGGTGCTATAGACATTCATCATGAACTTTTAGAAGCTGCAGTTAAAAAGGTGGCACTGCCAGGCATGGTGATACATGCCTGTAATCCTAGCACTCTGGAGGCTGAGGCAGGAGGATTGCTGTGAGTTTGAGGCCAGCCTGGGCTACATAGTGAGTTCAAGGCCAGCCTAAAACTACACAGCCAGAGCCTGTCTCAAAAAAAAAAAAGTGGCATATATTCTTCTTTCATTTAGCACCGTAACTAGATGAGTTGATGAAATAGCAGAGGCACAATCGTTAGAGAGAATTAATGAGTCACACTGGTACACAATTCAGGCAGACAAATCTATTGATGTTGATAACAAAGAAATGGGTTTTTTTGTGCACTATAGTGTCACAATGATGTGCATGAGGATAAGGTATGTGCACTTTTATTGTCAACCAACATCACAGCTGCACAACTAGTCAAGTGTTTGAACCATTTCATATCAGGAAGACTGAACTGGTCCATTTGTATCGGTATATGTGCGGACAGAGTAGCTGCCGTGACTGGATGGCTTCCTGGTTTTACCACTTAGGTCAAAGAGATTGCATTTGAATGTGAGTCTGCATGCTGTGAAATCCACAGAGAAATGCCGGCTAGCTCAAAAATGTCACCTGGGGCAGAGGATTTAGCTCAGTGGTGCCACCGCCTGCCTTGCAAGTGCAAGGTCCCGAGTTCGATCCCTGGTACCAAAAAAAAAAAGAATGATGCTCTCAGTGCAGACACATCTGATGAAGTGGTGGCCTCTTCATGTTCACATTTTCTGTTTTTAAAATTCCAAAGGCTTATCTTTTAATGTAGGGTGCTTGGACTCCATGTGGTGAAGCCATTTTGAAGGTTTCATGGTTTGTAGGATAGTGGGCACCATATATTATGCACAAAGCAGGCTTGGAGAACATGAATCACCTGTTGCAATGAACCCTTAACTTAAGTAGGACTCAGTATTTCCTTCTAAATGCAGCTTTGTTTCTTTTGTTTCTTTTCTTTTTTGTTGGCAGCCTTAGAGTCTTCCGCTGTCTCATCATTGGGTCTTTCCTCTTTTCAAAGAAGCCTGATGTTCGTTTTCTGCTGTTAGTCTTAGTCACTTTTCTCATCTTTGAGAAGCACCCCCAAATTAAAGGAGGTTTATTTTGGCTCAGTTTAGTCCACAGTTGCTGGCTCCAAGGCAGGAATGGCCTGGTGGAAGGGACTGGGGGAGGACAGCTGCTCACACCATGGTGTCCAGGAAGCAGAGAGAGAAGGGAGGACCCAGGGAGGGGGACAGAACCTTCCAGGCCCTGCCCCTAGTGCCACCCCTTCTGACCAGGCCCACCTCCTATTGCCACACTCGACCAGGTACCATCAGTGGGTTAGTCCACTGACAAGCACAGTGCCCCCCATGACCCAGCCACCCCAAACACCCCACTTTTGAGTACATAACAGGTCTGGCAGTCATTCTTGATCTAAACCTGGGCTAGATTGTGGGCTTGGCAAACTGTGACTGAGACAGGCGTGAGTGTGGGAAAGGGGCAGGGAGCGGCACACAAAGTAATGAGCAGCCTCGTGTGGACCGACGTGTCAGGTTCTGACTTAAAGCCTGCTACCTGACGCAGCTTCACTGTCACTTGCCGCTCACTGATCATTTTTTGATCTGAGTCTGCAAGCAGTTGGTTTATGATGGTCTCTGTGTAGCCAGCCCTCTCTGCAGATGCGAGTCTGTATTTGCAGCTGCTCCTCAGTGCTAGCATCACTGCCTCAACTCCACCTCAGGTCATCAGAGGTGCAGCTTTACCTGTTCACCCCCCACTCACCACCTGCTGTGTGGCTGGGTTCCTGACGGGTCACAGACCAGGGCTGGGGACTCTTGTGCCAAGTGGAAGATGCCAGATTAAAGAGGCTGCCTACCGCATGATTCTATTTACACGACCCTTTGGAAAAAGAAAGACTGTAAGGGTGGAAGATAAGTCTGGGTGGCCGGGTCAGAGGAATAGTATTAACACAGCAGCACATGATTGTCAGACTCAAAGAACTGACACCAAAAATAAGAGAAATTGGCCCTCCACAAATTTACCTCAGCAAAAGAAATATGTGCGTTGTGATCAGTTTTAAAACCAGGCTACTAACTAGTCCTCTTCCCACTGAAGCACTCTGCATTCCTTTGACCTAAAAACTCTGACACTGGCCCTGCACAGGGCCTCAGAGCTGCAGGGAGGCCTTTGAGGGGTGCATTTGTCCCCATGCGTCCCAGGGGGCCGCCCGGTCTGCCAGGCTTCTCCAGGGAGTGCTGGGGTCCGCTCCCCACCTGTGATCCTGGCTGATCTCATGCTGTGCTTTGTCCAGTGGAGGGCAGGGAAAGGACATTGCGTGGGGGCAGCTCAGGGTGCACTTTCTCCTTCGCCCTCGTGGAGGTGGCCCTGAGACTGTCACACAGGGGAGCTGGGCCAGGCTCCTGATAATGAAGGCCGGGTGCAGGGACCTCAGGCTGCAGGCGTCCACTCTGTGTCTCCCTGCCGCCTCTCCTGCCAGTGTCACCACCCAGAGAAGACCCCAGCCACTCGCCTTAAGTGCAGGATCTGCTGTGGCTTTGCACACACTGCTTCTTCCATGTGATGCAGCCTTGCACTGCTAAAGCCCCGGCTGCTCTGGGCTGCAGGGATGAGTTCACAGCCCGCAACGGCCAGGCGGAGCCACTGTGTAGGTCACTCAGAGCCGGGGACCAGGGACTTAACGCAGGACTTGGCACGGAGGCGGCTGCTCCTGGCGCCTTTATCACACATCACACTACACACAAAGCTGCGCGCGCGCACACACACACACACACACACACACACACACACATGAATCACTGCAGTGTAGTCCCTGTCTGCCCTTGGGTGACCCCCAGCACCGGGTTCCAGTGTATGTGGGGGGCCTCGGGCTGAGGTCAGAGAGAAGAAAGATAAGCAGGAAAGGATGGGCCAGGGATTTGGCTCAGTGGCTCTGCTGCCTGCCTCGCAAGTGCAAGGTCCTGAGTTCGATCCCTGGTACCAAAAAAAGAAAAGAAATAAAGATAAGTAGGAAAGGAGACAAGGAAACCTATAATAGTGCCAGGGATTTAGCTCAGTGGCTCTGCTGCCTGCCTCAAAAGCGCAAGGTCCCGAGTTCGGTCCCCGGTACCAAAAAAAGAAAAAGAAAAAAAAGAAACCTGTAATAGTGAAATTGTACCTTTTTTTTTTTGGTACCTGGGATCGAGCTTGGGTCCTTGCACTTGTGCAGCAGGCAGTGAAACCACTGAGCTAAATCCCCAGCCCGAAATTGTACCTTTTAAGAAAAACTGAAGCTTCAGGACACAAAAGTTATTCAAGCTTTGTTTCCTGCCCAGGAAAAATTCCTAAGGGCCTCACAGTCTGTAATGTTGTACGCTGGGCTCCAGGCCTGGGCCTTTCACCTGTGAGCCTGACTCCCTCCGGCCGACCCATCCTCAGCAAGCGGGGCAGGGACAGCAGGCTCAGCTCTGCACAGGTGCCCGCCCTGCCCTGTGACAGCCCAGTTGCTGAGCACCCTAAGCCCACTGAGGGCCCCGAGTGCCCATGAACAGACCCAGCTCCAGGCCCCTCGCCCTTCGAGGCCCACGGCATTTCTCTAAGTGTGCACGTACTTTTCAATCCGGCCTAATAAGCCCCTTCACGCCTCCTACTGACGCATCCTGGAAGTTCTTTTTCTGTGATAAAAGCGAACCTGCAAGCTGCCCTCCCTGGTGCAATCAAGGCCCCCAGCCCCACCTTGGAGACCTCCTTCAGCCCTCTCTGGGGACAAGGCCAGCTCTGAAGAGCCAGCTGTCCCCACCTCTTCCCAACCCCATCAATCAGCGAATGCTGTGAGTGGGGTCCTGCTCCCTGCCCAGGCACTAAGCGACCCCCGATGGGCCTGGCACACGGGCCTCCGGAGCATCGCCAACTCCTGCTTGGGGCAGGAGCTCCGGAGGGTGCTGAGTGCGCTGCAACGCTTTCCACAATTTGGGGCCAGTGAGCCGGGGGGCTGGCGGGAGCGGCGCACCCCACTGCGGCCGGGCTCTTCTCTTTCTCCTTGGAATCTCACACGGAGACGATGTAAGAGAAAAATGCCCTGTATTTCCACCTCCCCGCTTTCCTCCTCCTCAACCATCACTTTGCCAAAGGGCTTTGGGGCGCCTTCAGCTGCCCAGCTCCCCGGCAGCCCCAGCAGGGCACCGCCCGGTCCTTGGAATGCAATCTGCCAAATTAACATTCCTCTCGCCTCCTGGCCGGGGAAGGAGCACAAACCTAATCCGCTGGGTTCAGCGGTGTCTTCTGGGCTTTATAAACAAGTTCTTTGTTTGGGGGCCAGGGCAGGGTGCTGGCACGCACGGAGGGGCAGCCCAGGTCCCCGAGCGGGCGGGACCCAGGGCAGGTGCGGGGTGCCCAGGAGCCACTGTTTGTCTCCAGCCATCTGTGCCACGACGCCCACCAGTCCGCCCCACCAGCGTCCGCCGCCGTGCACCCGCCTGGCCCCAGCGTCCTCAGCCGACCATATTTCTCCTGCTTCTTCCTTAGCAACTCCCTGATGTGTCTGCGACTCCAGAGCCACCTGGCCTCACCTGCTGTCACCTGTACGCTGTGCAGGTGATGGCTTCCTGCGGCAGTGAGGGTCACCTGCCACTAGGTGAAGGCTGCTAGGGAAGCGAGGAGCCGGCCCCCAGGTGTCACGGCAGGTGGGCCAGGCAGAGCGCTTTTCATCTCCTCTGAGGGTAAACCCGCCCGGCGGCCTCAGGCCGACTCACCTTTCATACCCCCGGAGGCGCCAGTGTGATTTCGGATTAAAAAGAGGAAGTGGGGACCCAGACAGACTTTGAAAAACTATACGAATCAACATTTTGTTGAAGGAAGGTGTTTTTGAGCTTGGGGGTTAGGGAAGGAGGAGTGGGTTAGGTCTTGGCCAAGATCTTAAAGGGGTCAAACCCTGTAGGCACTTTTCTCTCACATCGGCCCGGCCGTTCTTTACGGTGACTAGCAACGCTGATTATTTGAGATGCCTGTGCACACACACCGGACAGCGTTGACGTAAGTCTTGTTAACACTTAGGTACATATTCCCAATTCTCTTTTTTTTGAGTGTCTTTATTATTATTATGTATTTACTTATTTATTTTTTGAGGCAGGGTCTCCCTATGTAGTTTAGGCTGGGCTTGAACTCATGACGACCTGCTGCCTCAGCCTCCCCAATGCTGAGGTTACAGGGGTGCATCCTCACACCCGGCTTTCTCTGAATACTTTTAAACATCACTGTTTAAAATTTCATCTCCGATTTATACACCTCTGAACCCTACTCCCCCTCTCCACTTACACGGTATGAAAAAATATGCAGACAAAGCGTCCTGCCCGCCCCTGAGCTGGTGCTGTGCCCCCAGTGCCCTTGCCTGGCTCGGGAAGCTGCCAGCGCTTTGGTCTCATTGAAGGCGAGGACATTCTTGTGTTTTCTACTTGTTACAGCACTTTCTTCCGGGCAGAATTCTAGGAGATGCAGTAACTGCAGGAAAAACTTTAAAGGCTGAGACTTGAAAGTTCTCTCTCTTTCTCTCTCTCTCACACACACACGCGCGCGCAAACACGCACACACACGCACACAGTCCCCACGAAGGTGCTTGGATTGCTCCGGGGTTCTGTCTGTCCGTCTGTCCCTGAGCTGCAAGGTCCAGGATTAGAAGAAAATAGTCCAGAATAGAATGATTCCCCTTTCCCTCCTGTGATTCCAAACCCAAACTTTTTCCCCAAACTAATTTAAAAACCGGAATGACGGGGCTCCTGGTCCCTGGCGCCTAACGCCGGCCGCCCACTCACCGCCGCCGTGCGTCTGGCACAGGTAGGGGAAGCGCCATACATTGCCCAGGCCCACGGAGTAGGAGATGCAGGCGAACAGGAACTGCAGCGGGTGCCCCCAGCGCGCGCGCGCCTTCGCCATGGCCCGGCTGCGGCCCGCGCTCCGCTCCTGGCTGCACCGCGGCGCGGCCCGAGGGTGGGCGGGGTCGGACCGAGATCCGCCTAGGCCGGGCCACCGCCCCCGGGCGCGCGGGGCTGGGAGCCACGGGGCCCAGCTGGTTGCCCTTGGCGGAGGGCAAGGTCACACGGCCCGCGGAGGACTAAATTTACGCTTATGACATTTATTAAATTTAAGTTTATCACCGTAAGAGACACAAGGCGGATCCTCCCCCCTCCTTCGAAATCCCTGGTCCTTAGGGTGCCGCTCCTGCAGCCCCTCTGGAGCCCTCTCTCCTGAACGTCTCTAGCTGCCCGGTTCTTGCTGCCTCCGTCACCCGTCACCCGTCACCCGGCGCCCGGCGCCAGCTCCATGAATGAGGAGGGTGAGGGCCCAGGCCCGCTGTTACGTCCCATCCCACCTCCATCGCATGGCGCTGGGCGGCAGCAGTCGGCCTGTTTTTGATCACTCCTTGTAAACACACCCATGAAAGAAGCTTCCAGAGCGGCTGCAGAGAGGAGCAATAGCGACAGGATCCTGCGTTGGAAGCGACGGGTGCTCCAAGGAGAATTATGGCAGTGGCTTCTACTGCAATAGATCCTTAAACATGTGAACAATCACCGCCGCCACGTGTTTTGATCCCCATGTGTCAGACTGAGACCCAGGAACAACCGAGGCGGAGGGACCCGAGGCTCCCAGAAGCGGACAGGGCATGTATGCAGGGCAGGGGACGCCTGCCGGGTGCCGGGGCCAGGCCAGGCCAGGATGAGGCCTCAGGTTGCTCTGGGCCCGCAGGGTGACGCGGCTGGAGCCCAGCAGTCTTACGTAACCCAGGGTATAGTTTGTGCCCCGACTCGCCCTACTTCCCCGTGTGACTCAGAAGGCGCTGAACCTCTGAGCCTGTTCCTCCTGTGTAGGGGAAAGGACACAGCTTCCCCTCACACACTCCTGCAAGGAAGGGCTCAGTGGAGCGAACTGAGAGCCTCACCTCCCACCGGCCCGAGTAAGAGCTCAGCTAAGAGGCCGAGGGCACTGCAGGAGGAAGGAAGCCACGGACTGGCCGCACGGTGAGCGAGTTCACATGAACCCCGGCTTCCAGCAGCGCATGGGACCTGGTGACAGATAAAATGCTGAATGAATAAGCAAAGTTAAGAAGAAGGCAGAGCTGTTGGTGAACTCCTACTGGAAGCCAAAAGGAGATGGCGCTCAGGACAGGGACTGTCCCCTGTGCTGTCCCTGGGGCCTGGGCGGGAGAACGGAGGCTGGGCAGCAGGTTGGAGCTGCTCAGGCCAACATCTGCCCCGAACTTTCCGCCCCAGAAAGCAAAGGAGCAAAGCCCACGACTTCCAGTTTAAGCTTGAGATTCCAATCCCCTTTCCCAACCCCTGCCTCCTCCAAGGAGTGGAACCACATGATTCGGGTGGCCCACTGTGGCCTGGACCTCAGGGTTCCCACAATGGCGCCTCCGGCCTTAGGGAGCAGCGTCCCAGACGCTGGGCTCTGCTTCCCCGAACTCCTGAGTGGGCTGCAGAGGCCGGCGCCCTCAGCAGAGGTTGCCTAACTGCTACCAGCCTGGAGCAGCAGGACCAGTTCCATGCTCTCGCTTCCGTGGCTGCCCCGCGCTTGTCGTGGTGGTGATGCCCTTGCTGCTCCCATGGGTGTGCCTGACAGCTAAGGCGACTCCGAGTACCCAGCCAGGGCCCACTGCATCTTTGCTCTCTTCCCGCTGACCCCTGCTCCTCCCTGTGCCCGGCATGGCCTTGTCGCTGTTGTGTGTGACAGGTTTGTCTCTGTCCCCGGGCTGTGCCAGCGTCTTCCAATCAAGAGCCAGTCACAACTTTCCCATAGTCAGTTTGGCAAGTGTGTCTGTTACGCTTCTCTTTTGGAGTTTTTTTCTTATGCCCTGTTTAAAAGTTCGCTCCCTTGCCAGCCCCAGGCCACAAAGATACTCCTGAGGATTGAGGATTTAAATCCACGACGAAGTAAGGGCCAAGGATCCTCAGAGGGAGCCACCCCACCCCACAGGAGGATGACAACCTCACCATGAGGACACCAGCCGCAGTCCAGGGCCTTCTTGTGCTGGGTCCCTGAGCTTTGATTTGATAGGGATGCCTGTTTAGTGTTGGTGAGTCACTTGCAATCCCAGCTTTCTGGGAGGCCGAGGCAGGAGGAGCACGAGGTCAAGCCCAAGCTGGGCAACGTAGCAAGATGCTGTCTCAAAATAAAAACATTAAAAGGGCTGGGGATGGAGCTCAGTACTGAGGCTGTGGTTCATTCTCCGGTACCTCCAAAATAAATGAAGAAATAGATAAATGCAAGCAAGCTGCTGAATCATAGACAGAAAGAAGGTGTTACTCCCTCCGCGCTCTGTTGTAAGCTCTGTTCTCGTCAATGAGTTCTCCGCGCCTCCTCCTTGGCCCCAGACTCCATGTCCTCTGCTCCCCTCCTCGTCTTGGGGCGCTGACCAGGGCCCCCCAGGCTCCCCCAGGGCTGCGGCTCTTCATCCTTGGCCAGGGAGGCCAGCTGAGCCGAAGGTGGCTCCATCCCCACGGGGTCTCCAGGGCTCCCTCCTGCACAGCCGCCTTTCTGCCTGCTGAGCCCCAGAATCTGCTCTCCGCACTCGGCTCTGATGCTGTCCCTCCCCGGCTCTGTCCCCCCTCGCTGGCCTGGGCCTCATGCTTGCCTGGTTCCGCCTGGCTCCCTCCGGCCACCTTTGCCCTGCTCCTTGCATTGCTCCTCAGCCTCCTGCCACCCGCGGCGCGGGACCCCCGCTGTCCTGGACAGGAGCGGCGGGGGCCAGGCCCTGTGGGGCCTCCTACTCCCCACACCCGGCTTGGGGTCCCAGCCCAGGTTCTGGCCTCTCCTTCTCCCACGTCCCTGCCCCAGTGACCATGGAAGTTGTGAGGCCCACAGAGAGCTGGAGGGTGGCCCGTGCCTCCCACTTCCTGTGTCCCCCATGTGCAGCCCAGGCACAAGGCGCTTGGAAGTGAGGACTGTGCCCCACGCCCCAAGGGTCTCTGTAGTGGTAGTGATGGGAACTCTGGGAAGTGACCAGACTGATACATTGTAGCCATGTCCACTTTTCTGTTACTTTTCATCATGAGACACAGAAAATTGCACAGAAAAAATCCTTACATCAACAAATGATCCCCCTCAGCTCAAGAGATTTTCAGCAGCCAGGTACACACACACACACACACACACACACACACACACACACACACACGCGCGCATTTTAGATTTGCTTTGACAATCAGCTGTCTTTGTCATAGATGAATTCTGTGAAGAAACCCATACCTTCCGTGTTTCATACCTTTCTGAGCTCACATTTTACATGTGCCGAACTGCCAGATTCCTGCAGTAAGTTCCTAGTCCCCACCTGCCCAGTGTGCGATGCAGGCCTGAGAAATAAATACACTAAGAGACAGAGCTAGGAGAGAAAGCGGGGCCAGGACAACCAATGCCAGTGCAACCGACACAGGCCCTGGCCAGTCCCAGGCAATCAATTGGGTGAAAGGTGAGCCACGTGCAGGTTCTATGGAAATTAAGGTAAACAAGGCCCATAAAGGACAAAATAAAGTGTTCTCTAATCAGGAACAGAATACACAAAATATATGGTTGTAATTAGAACATTGTCCTTCTAGTCTGAAGGTTTTAGTTGTGGGAACGGGGTTTGGGTGCGAGTTACTCTGACCTGGGCACGTAGGCTTCGGCCAGGCTCACTGCTATAAACAACCAGTCGTGGGGTTAGCTCCTCACAGCCTGCCTTGGGCGGTCCTGACTTTCCCCTGAACACTTCCAAGCAATAGGACACCTGGCAAATCGGCCAGAGGCACAGAGTGCCCAGGAAGATGGGGAAGGAAGATGAGGTGGCAGCCACAGAACCAGGACCGGGCCACAGCTCCAGGCCAGGGCGGCTTCCCGTCCCGCATCCCCTGGGACGTGACAGGGACAGAGGCACCAGAGGACTTGGGAGGAGAGGAAGTGAAAGGAAGCAGAAAGCCTGCAGGCCGTGCAGCCATCGGCAGTTGGGAGACGTTCAGATAAATGTTTGAATCTATGTCTTCCTGGGACCCACTGGGGATGCTCAAGCTTCCTGAGACTCACAGGGGAGGACAGGAAGTGCAGCCACCGAGTCCTCTCCTGCAAGCGCCCACCTCTGGGACAGGACGCAGTGTGGAGAGGCAGTCGCCAGGCGGGCCAGTGGTGAACGGTGGTCGTGTTCACAGCAATCCAAAGTAGGCGTGTTCAGTGGGCTGGGGAGCAGCGCCAACAGGCGCAGAGGGAGCTGGGGTGAAACCCCTGGCTTCTCCTGGCCATGGGGCGGCCGTCCAGCTTCCTGTTGGTCTTGGCTAAACTCATTCCTTCCCCTCGCGAATCTGTGCTGGGAGCAAGAATCTCGGGATTATCCTGCCTGCGGAGGGAAACAGTTGGCATGCTGTGAAAATATTTCCCAAGGTCGGCAAGTGCGTGGGGGCCCCTGGCCCCCATCTGTGACCCCGGGAGCCTGCCTGGGACTGCTGGGCTGTTCTGAGCTTGTTGCCTGCTTCACACCAGGAGAGGAATTTGTGCCTGGGCACCCAGGTTCAGAGGGTATTCGGTTTCTCTCACCTCATCATCCTCAAAATGTGGGCTATGGCCCAGTGCCCTGGGCAGCACCAGGAGTTGTGAGAAATGCAGGCTCTAAGGCTGGATTTTAAAAACAAAAAAACAAACAAACCAGGTGAGGTGGTGTCATCCCAGCACTCGGGAGGCTGAGGCAGGAGGATTGCAAGTTGGAGCCCAGCCTGGGCAACTTAGCAACGTGGAGAGATTTTGTTTCAGATAAAAAGGGGCTGGGTTGTAACTCAGTGCGAGGGCCCTAGGTTCAACCCCTCAGGGGCACCCTGGCTTTTTAAACCTGCTGCTCCCCCAGGCCGTTTCTGGGGCTTTGAGCATGATGCGCACGGCCCCCAGGAGAGGTTCCGGGCGTGGAGATGTCCTGCGTATGGCTGTGGCATGGCCACCCTTCCGGGAGGGATGGTCCTCCGCTGGTGAAGGGTGTGGGCGCCCTCAGCCCGGGTAGCCCTTTGCCTCCCTCAACCCCTCATTTTCGGCCCGCTGGTTTTTCCTTTAAGCAAATCCTTCTCTAGAGCACGTTTGGAGTCCACAGGGAAAGTTGCATTGTTCTTCAGTGGCCTTGAGGAGCCTCGAGTCTTCCCTGCTTGCCCGGCGCTCTGTCCGCTGTGTCCCTGGGAGTGGCACCTTCCAGAACTTTCCTGTGGTGTTGCTCCCCCTTCTACCCCGAGTCACACTCTTGTTGCTGCCTGCTGTGCTTTGCTCCCTTTCTCTAGAGCTTTGCCTACTGCCTGTGAAGAGTGCATAGATACATGTGCAGTGTAGCAAATCCAAGTCAAGGGCCCTTGTGCTCCACTCAGGTAAAGAAACAGAAGCTTTCCAGCGCTCAAGAGCACTCTCTTGGGTGTGGTGGCGCAGGCCTGTCATCCCAGCACTCGGGAGGCTGAGGCAGGAGGATCGCCATGAGTTCGGGGCCAGCCTGGGTTACATAGTGAGTTCAAAACCAGCCTGAACTACATAGAGACCCCCTGTCTCAAAAACCAGACACAAGAGCACACTCTTTCTCCTTCTTCAGTTCTTCATCCAGAGATTATACTATCTCAGTTTTTAAGCCAGTCTTGATGGCAAGTGTCTATAATTCCCACACTGGGGAGGCTGAGCCAGGAGGATCACAGTGAGTTTGAGGCCAGCCTGGGCTACATCGTGAGTTCAGTCCCCGGTTTAACTGCTCTGCCCTGACCCTGCTGAGCTGCTCATTCCCTCCAGTGAGAACCCCAGTCTTTACTCTGGTGGCCCCTCCCTCGTGGGCTCGGTTCAGGGGCTCCTGGGTGAGGCCAACACCGAGCCTCCCACCAGGGTTGCTCCCACCCTGCCCGGGCGGCCCTGGTCATCCTCATTGTGCTTCGCTGCCATCACCACTCCAGTGCTTTCTTCTAACATCCCATGGGGTGTGGATGGCAGTCCTCAAAGGACAGGTCCCCCCAGCCCCAGGATTCGACCTGAATAAATTAAAGATCTCAAGACAAGAGCACACTGGACTAGGGAGGGCATGAAATCCAACAACAAGGAGAAGACAGCATGAGACAAAGGAGAAAAGATGGTGATGGGAAGCTCGAGACAGAGACTGGATGTGCTATGAGACATACAATGGCAGGATCACCAGCAGCCACTGGGAGCCATGAGATAGTCATGGAGCAAACGAAGGTCCCTCAGAGCCTGTGGAAGGAACTCACTCTGCTATCGTAAGCCACCAGCGACAGTGATTTGTTATAGCAGCCCTAGGAAACAAACACAATTATAGATTTACTTATTACTACGTATTATTTTCTATATTCTCTCCGTGTAAGCCCCACAAGGCACACAGGGTCCATTCTGCTCACGAACTGTTTCCAATACCAGTGGCTACATCATAGTTGATTTTATCTGTGAATCCAATACTTGGTGAGTATGGGCTGAAGTGTTCTGAGGTCTGGCTGTACACACAGGCGGGCCCTCACCAGGAGAAGGGGACCCAGCTCCCATGCCCGTGTGTGGGTGAGTCAGACCCCTGTGGCTGCAGGAAGGGGCGCATGTGCAGCCAGCTGTGGGCTCCGCGTGTGAACTCCAGAGGCCGAGCTGAGCTCTTTGGAGAGGAAGGCCCATGGTCTGGGGCTGCCGGGTCCTGACTGTGTGGGTGCTGAGAACCCCAGTTCTGACTGCAGGTCGCACGTTCCCCGCATTTGCCAGGCCCGTCAGACAGTGCCAGCAGTGGGGGCACCTGCTTGTGTGCAAACCGGGCCTCAGCAAGGGAGAAGGCAGCTGCCGGAGTCAGCCCAGCGCAGGGATCGCTGAGCGGGAGAGTCCAGGCTGCGGGCCAGGACACACCCGGGACATGCCTCTGCTGTTATTTTATTAGGGGCCCAAGAGTGTGCGGCAGGAACTGTAAGACTGCTCTCCTTACCAAAGGCTCTGAGGAGCTGACTATAGTGAAGCACACCCAGGGATCCCAGCGGTGCCTCTAGAATGTAAGACCAAGGGCCTTACCAGATGCTCCAAGGAGCTGACTGCAGCGAAGAACACCCAGGAAGGAACACACCCAAGTTGGAAAGTGAAACAGACCTTGGTCTGGCCAGAGGGCATTCCCAAAGCAGAGTAGATTAGAGAGGTGTCAGTCCAGAGTCCAAGGCTCTTTTTATAGGGGCTTGCAGGGAAGTTAACAGGCAGAATTTACAGAAGAAGGAACAAAGGTTAGTGGTCTTACATTTGCATGTTAATTAGCCTGACATGTACTGATAGTCAGCAGATGCTTTGTAGATTGTTCTGTAGATAGTGGTGTCGGAACAAAGAGTTGGATAATTATGGCTGATACGATCTTATCTAGTGTCCTGGAACTAAGAAGCATCTTTATCTATTTACTCACATTCAATCACAGTTAGGGCTAGGGGAGTTTTATGCTTAGGGTTATGCAGCCCCACAGAACAAGCAGCGCAGGGAGCAAGGGGTACAAACCTGAGAAGACCAGCAGCCCACAGTGGGCGGCAGCAGGAGCTTGGGCAAGGAGGCGCCCAGCGGCCAGCGCTGATGAGGGGTCCTCGCCTGCTGCTCCATCGCTGTGTGGATCCCGGGTCGCACATCTTCCTGGGTCACAAGAGAAGCCACATCCTGGGCGACCTTGGGGTGCTTATTTCCCATCCCCGTTCTGGATCCTCCCTGTCTACCTGTCCTTCCTTTAACCTGGGCTTACCTGGGTGTGGATGGTACTTAGGAGGTGGAGTAATCACTCCTTAAAGTATTTAAAGGTTTGGGCCAGGAATGTAGCTCAGTGGTGCTGCTTCCTGCTTCAAAAGCCAAGGTCCTGAGTTTGATACCTGGTACCCAAAAAAAAGTATTCAAAGGTTTCATGGAATATGATCAGGCATCAAACTTTTTAAAAAGGTCAGCCGAAGCCCGGGGATTTAGCTCAGTGGTTTCGCCACCTGCTGCACAAGTGCAAGGACCTGAGTTCAATCCCTGGTACCAAAAAAAAAAAAAAGTCAGCCGAAAAAAACACACTTGTCATCCCAGCACTTGGAGGCTGAGGCAGGAGGATCGCTGCAAGTTTGAGGTCAGCCTGAGCTACATAGCGAGACCCATTCTCAAAGAAAAAAAAAACAAGGTTAATCATTTATGGGCTCAGAAACACTGTGGAGGCTTTCAAATAAGACGTTATACAAGGAAGGAAAATTCCAGACCAAGTGTCTCTTGTGAGTATTCATGGAACAGCTTTTAATAAGACATCAGCCATCAGCTGACGGACCCAGAGAGGACCTCAGGACCAAACTAGGCTGGGCCGTGGGTGGCCCTGGGTGACAGGAGCCCTGCAGGGGAGACTTTCTAATGTCAAACTGCACCAGCATTGGCGTTGGCGCTGTCTCTGCAGGCCATGTGTCAGAGTGCGGCCCTGGGCAGGAGGGTGAACCTGGGCAGGGCAGCCCGGAGGCCAGGTCACTGCCGTCACCTCCAGCCCTGGGCTCGTCCTTCCTTCCCGGGGGCTGATCACTAAGCTTGAAGCAGCAGCCAAGGCCCGCTGGTGAGGGTCCTGTA